CGGCTATCCACATCTATAACCTACTATAGTTATATTTGTCCTAGGTTATAGAAGGTGATGAGCCGATAGCCGCGCAGGCGCAGTGGCTATTGCCTCATCGGATTCTATAACCTATTTAAAGGTTATATTATGTTACAGCGCCTGCGCGGCCACATAATTCTTTCCACAACCACAGTTGCCACTGCGCCTGCGCGGGTATCGGCGTCTATGACCTAGGACAAGTATAAGTTGGTACAAGGTTATACAATCCGATGAGCCGCTAGCTGCGCAGGTGCAGTGGCTATTGCCTCACCGGATTCTATAACCTAGTCAAAGGTTATATTATGTCACAGCGCCTGCTAGCCGCGCAGGCGCTTTGGCAATGATAGACAGTTCGACAAGGATTTCCTGCCCATGTGCACTAGCTTCATCTGCTGTACATCTCCTACTGGCAGTCACCGGATGTGACGTGCCCAGTCGGAGAGCTCGACAAGTCGGAGCTTTCGGTAGAACACCGGGAAGCTGTGACGTGTCTGACCTACCCCCTGCCTCGGTGCATGAGGGTGCCATTCAGATGAATGGCACTGCCACCCTCTTACGCAGGTTATGAGTGATGTACGCACCGCCAGGACACACCGCAACAGAAAGTCATGAATGGGCCCTAAGTGATTTCGGAAAACCAGTCCATCACTGAACGGGTTAAACGCCCAAAGGCCGCAGTCATTTCGCTCATTGAGAGCTATTGATTCCCAGAGTGGATTTATTGGCCGGCTGTTTTCACTAATGGACTTTAGAAGCCCTATTCCCGAGTTCAGAAGGAGAGGGGCAATCCGCGGGCCCCGTCCATTTATCGATCCCATAAGCATCCATTCAGCCGCCTGTGATTGCCCGTCCGGCGATTGTCCTGGGAGAAGCGCAGCAAATAAGGTGCAATTTGCTGGGTGCTTCAGCCCCATTAGGCTCCCAGAAACTGCTGAGACAGACAAATAGACGGGCCGCTGAATCGCTGACATTAAAACGGGAACATTGTCATTTCCCCAAAGAGATCTCCAATTCGCCTTCTTCCAAAGAGCCATGAATCTGGTTTACGGCACGCCGAGGAGTCCGGGAAAATGTGTTTGTGCAAAGACCTGCCCCGTCTTATTTATGGGGCTCTATAGAGAGCGGAGATTCGGGAACGGGGCGAGCTAATGCAACAAGGAATTCATGAGGCAATACGACACAGCGAGCCGGATTTATACCTTCATAGAAATGTCTTTGTCATCTCAATCTGCCAATGACGTCACGGCTGACGGACACGTCTAAAGAGATGGCAACGTCCACATATTACAGTCCTGACTGAAGTCATGCCAGTGGCGTCACAAGGGGGGTGCCACCATTAGAGGGGTGAAACCAAAATGACTGAAAGTCAGTCATTTTGGTGTCACCCCTATGAAAAGTCAGGCATTCGGTCATGGACCAAGAGCCCAACAGTGTCAGGAGAGAGGAGGGGTCCCGGCGGCATACCTCATCCCGCCAGGTGAACGTCCCTTCCTCTCTCTGCCGGCGTCCATCACCAAGATGATCAATAAGACGACCGCGCATGCGCGATGACATCACGCAGGGGTGTCACCCGGTCTCCGCTCCGGGTGACACCCAGCCTCGGGACACCCGAGTCATGCACCTCTCCTCCTTCTTCTAGTCTTGTAACCACGCTATACATTTAACAAATTCTATTTTAGGAAATGCCTAAAGCTAAAACAGAAGGCGGACAGATACATAACCAGAAGAAAAAAACATACTCTGGAAGTGTTTGTGGTTCTGTCCATTTAGTTCTATGATTTACACAGCACAGCCCTGTCTGGCAGGGCAGGAGACCTCATTTTTCTCTACTGCAGTTCATTAGCACTTGCAGGTCTTGCCCCTCCCTCCGAGACTATAACTGGACTCTTTGTCACTCTGCTCCCTCCTCCTTTCAGCATGCTCATGGCACTGCAGTGCAAATGATTGGCCGTTTGTCTTGCTTCTCTTTCCTCTTGTCTGAGCTCTGTTGTCACTTTACTCTTTCCTTCTAGCAGCACTCTCCGGGCACTGCAGCAAAACTGGTTGGCCATTTATACTGTTCCCTCCTCCTGTCAGAGCTTTGTTGTCACTTTGCTCTTTCTTCCTGTCAGCATGCTCTTGGCACTGCAGCACAACTCATTGGCCCTTACTGCTGCTTCTCCCTCCCCATGTCTGAGCTCTGTTGTCAATCTGCTCTCTCTTCCTATCAGCATGCTCCTGGCACTGCAGCACAACTGAATGACTCTTTGTGCTGCTTCTCCCTCCCCTGTCTGAGCTCTGCTTTAGGGTGGACTGCAAATCCCAAGCCAAATTTAGATACTTCCACTTGCAGTAAATTTAAAGAGAATATAGTAGGCAGACTCACTGTCAGTGTGCAGACAGGAAGTGAGGGGAAATCTGAACTGACAGGAAGCCTGCCTACTACATTCCTTTTAGATGCACTGCAAGTGGAAGTATCTAAATGTGGCTTAGCCGGGTAGATATTGTACGCCCCCCCCCCCCCCGATCACATGCGGGTTCACTTCATTCACCTATGTGACACTTTAGGGGTTCATACACGCAGGTCACACATTGCCTCTTGTAGGTCTGTAGGGTGTATAACAGCCAATGGGGCGGCAGGATCGTGTTTTTTCGGATCCCATAGGGCAGCAATTTTTATTCTTTCATCAGTCACGGCACCCTTTAAAAGTATGCGAAATCTCGGGGGAGACCCCAGACTAAAATGTGAATGTAGAAAAAGATGTGTGGCCCCTCGAAAATCCATACCAGACCCTAATCCCAGAGAAGGGGGAACTCCCATACAAAAACAGGGGACCCTCCTTCACATCAGAGTCCTCCCCCTTCAAATCAGGAGCCTCATTCACATCAGAATCCCCCCTCTCACACTAGGGGTCCCTCTTCACATCAGATCTCCCCCTTTCCGTTAAGAACCCTCCTTTACATCAGGAGCCCCCTTTCTTATCAGGAGCCCCCCTCTTTACATCAGATCCCCCCCTTTCTTCCCCCCCTTTCTTATCAGAGTCCTCCCTTTACATCAGATCTCCCCTCCTTTCTTATCAGAGCCCCCCCACCCTTCTTGACTGCTCTTTCCATTGTGATCTATACTGGACAGGAAGGTCAGGGAAGCCGAGCTGTTCGGAAACATGATGACTGACAACATAAAGAAATCCGTTGCTGGGCGATGTATATTTATTTGATCTGCATTCATTATTGAACAAAGTCTATGGGCCGGTGTACACCTAGGCGATTTGTCGCGCGATATCACGCAAAACACAGATTCGCATTGAGGTCAATGGAGGCTGCTCACACCTTTGCGGTTTGTTGCGCGACAGAAATCCCCTGTTGCGCAAAAAGGTGCAGGAGCTATTTTCGGGAGGTTGTCGGTTGGTTTGGGTCTCATAGACATCACTATGCATTGAAAAACGCGCGACAACCACGTGAAGAAAGCTCAGCATCTGAATCGCCTAGGTGTGAACCTAGCCTGAGAGTTCAATAACACTTTAGTTGTGGATGAGTCCTCAGGGCCGGTGCACACCTCACCGTGCGGCAATCGTGCACGATTCCACGCGGATTGCCGCGCGGTCAGGAGTTGCCTAGTTGTGTACCGATCGCGCTGCGAGGGCCATTATTTTCTAATGGCACCCCAGTCGTGCCGGACGGATCGCGCAGTTTTCCACCGCAATTCCGAACACGAATAATAAGCGCGAGTTGTGTGTCGCAAAAAAAGGTACATTGAAATCAATGGGGCCGGGCGGCAACCGGATGGCGTAGGTCTGCACCGGGCCTCAATAACACTCAGCGTTTGTATCAATGATATGTTCTGAGACACATTGTAACAAAGAAGAGTTTTCTTTCCACGTGCGGCCATGTTTTTATTCTCCTCTGGCAGACTTCTTTTGTTGTCAGGCTCACTTGTTTTGTTTTCATCCGTGGAAGTGAAGAGCCCGAGGAAGGAGCCTGCGCCTTCCTCAAACCTTCCATTTACCAAACAATCAAATCAATCTTCACAGAAAGCAGCTTCTGAAAAGAAACATTCGTCGCCGGGGCCGTGATCCCTGACTGGACGGGAAAGGAGGAAGGCGTTTTTCTGGTTTGGACGGTGAACGGTGGAAACATCAAAGAGCGCGGTTTGCGGAGTGTTTATGCCGATAGTTTTTGTTTATATCCAAAGTGAAGCTTCACTTCTGCTAATCATAAAACCTCTCCTGTTCAGTGATATACAAAGCTGAGCTCCCGCCTCCCCTGGCACGGTTGTACCGCCTCCTCTCCTGCACTGAAATCGCTTCCTCTGATTTCAACGCACGCTGTGAGCGTCTGCGGACGGCCATGGCGTCACAGATATTTACTGTAAAAGGTTACATTTATCAAAGACTATGCAATGCTGGATCTTACTTGCTTCTCTTCTGTAAATACTGACACATGCATTTCATACATGTGCTCCTCATGGGAGGGTCTGCCTTCTGTATGATCACATGATCCGGGCAGAGATCAGTGTATGTGACTCCTGGAGCTCAGTGTACGGACGGGCAGAGATGGGTGTATGTGACCCATGGAGCTCAGTGTACGGACGGGCAGAGATGGGTGTATGTGACCCATGGAGCTCAGTGTATGGACGGGCAGAGATGGGTGTATGTGACCCATGGAGCTCAGTGTACGGACGGGCAGACATGGGTGCATGTGACCCATGGAGCTCAGTGTACGGACGGGCAGAGATGGGTGTATGTGACCCATGGAGCTCAGTGTACGGACGGGCAGAGATGGGTGCATGTGACCCATGGAGCTCAGTGTATGGACGAGCAGAGATGGGTGTATGTGACCCATGGAGCTCAGTGTACGGACGGGAAGAGATGGGTGTATGTGACCCATGGACGAGCAGAGATGGGTGTATGTTAGCCATTGAGCTCAGTGCATGGAGTTGGGAAAATCCGTCTCTGGCACACACTAGGCTCCAAGGCTGGATGGGGCGGGGCGGTGGGCGGAGCTCGATGCGCATGCCCGGTGCTGGCACGGCTCTCCGGGTCACACACACAACACGGGGAGGATGCAGAGTCCCGGGCGGCTGCAGTGAGCAGAGACAGCTGTGCCCGGGAACGGTGACCCGGATCGGCGCTGGCGGCGCTCCGGGATATGTGGCTCCTTTACCTCCTGCTGGGCTCTGTGGGTGAGTACCGGACCTGGGGGCGCCGGCCGCTGTCACTCAGCATTCACTCCGTGCGGGTCACGTGTGACGGTGCTGGCTCCGCCCACTTCTAGATGGGGTTACTAGGGGCTCCCCGAGGTGCAGCCTGTGGCCCTGCCTACACCCTTCTTGTCTGTCCTGCACTCCCAGCAGCATGTCCATCCAATTGCTGTTCTGTGTTTACTCTTTCATGTCAGTTCTAAGTGCTATGTGCTTGTGTGTTCCCCCTTCCCGCGCCCCCCTGTGTCCGCCTGTCCCACGCAGCGTCCCCTTGTGTCCGCCTGTCCCTCACCGCGTCCCCTTGTGTCCCGCGCCGCATCCCCTTGTATCCCGCGTCCCCTTGTGTCCCGCGCCGTGTCCCCTTGTGTCCACCTGTCCTGCGCTGCGTCCCCTTGTGTCCCGCGCCGTGTCCCCTTGTGTCCACCTGTCCTGCGCTGCGTCCCCTTGTGTCCCGCGCCGTGTCCCCTTGTGTCCACCTGTCCTGCGCTGCGTCCCCTTGTGTCCCGCGCCGTGTCCCCTTGTGTCCACCTGTCCTGCGCTGCGTCCCCTTGTGTCCCGCGCCGTGTCCCCTTGTGTCCACCTGTCCTGCGCTGCGTCCCCTTGTGTCCCGCGCCGTGTCCCCTTGTGTCCACCTGTCCTGCGCTGCATCCCCTTGTGTCCCGCACCGCGTCCCCTTGTGTCCGCTTGTCCCGCATCCCCTTGTGTCCGCCTATCCCGTGCTGCGCCCCCTATCTGCCCCACCCTCTGTGCGTTTGTTTCATCACACTCTCATGTGCATTTTGATGCCTTGTACATGCGTTTTGGGACATTGAGATGCACTTTTTGGTTTGTATAATTAATGTGTTGTAATGCGAGAGCTTTTCACTTTATTAGCAGTTCCCTCCAGCATCATCACGCACTTCCCTTCTCTTTACCATTACATACTTCCCTTCTTCATCACATGCTTCCCTTTTCTTTGTAATCACATGCTGCCCTTCTCTGCGCTTTGAGTCCCCATCCTCCAGCAGTGTCCCAGGCAGGCAAGTGGTGTGCGTAGGTAGTACGTGCTGATTGTGAACTTGTGTTTAAACATGTCAAACATTGCTCATGTGATTGTAAAATGTGGCCATCTACGTGGACCCGAGACTGACTACATGATCTAACCCATGTGGACATCTACATGGGCCAAGACTAACCGTGTGGGCATCTACATGGGCCAAGACTGACTATGCGGACATCTACATGGGCCAAGACTAACCGTGTGGACATCTACATGGGCCAAGACTGACCGTGCGGACATCTACATGGGCCAAGACTGACCGTGTGGGCATCTACATGGGCCAAGACTGACCGTGCGGACATCTACATGGGCCAAGACTGACCGTGTGGACATCTACATGGGCCACGACTGACCGTGCGGACATCTACATGGGCCACGACTGACCGTGCGGACATCTACATGGGCCAAGACTGACTATATGGTATAACCCATACCCTCCCGCTTCCAGACAGGTTCAGCAAAAGAGGCCATGCCCTCAATCATGAAAGCGTTGGGGCTGGACAATTTGTGGCCATGTGCTGATTGACAAGCTACATCCTTGTGAATCAGCATATGCCAATAACCACGCCCCCACAACATCATCCCCTCCCACTGTAGTGCAAGCAGACACAGCCTACATGAGGGTGACAACTCTGCTCTGAACTCCGGAGCAGTGCAGCATCGTTGCCACCCCATCACAGGAAGCTGCATTACTTGGATGTCCCTGGCAGTGGGACTTTGCAGGGGCACTGAGAGGAAGCTGTAAGTGCAGAAGGACTTAAAAATTCATTCATTATTGGAGACCATAGTTCTTCTTTGATACGCATTTCACTGCCTTTGAATTGACTCAAATCAGTGCATGCAAAATGTTGTTTGTAGATGTGATTTGTATGGCAACACAAAACCCTATAGTATTAGGCCTCATTCACACCCAACGCAAGCAAAATAGTTTATACGCGTCTATGCGCGTATATACGAGCGTATATGCGTGCACTATATTCAATCCCAGAATGCATCACTCGTAATGGAATTTTTAATGTGCTGTATGCATGTATATGCGCGTGAACACGTGTATGTGCGCATAAATACGCTGCCCGGACGCATCGCTGTTCCATTCCGATTTTTGCGCATATATACGCTACGCAAATATACGACTCCATACGCGGCTATGTGTATGAAGCCATTTATTTGCATATGGTACAATACGCACGTATATGCGCGGCAGTGTGAATGAGGCCTTAGTGTGCAGAAAAATGCCAGGAAACGCAGGCAGCCTATATAAAGTTTCTGTAGTTTCTGAGCCCCGCAGTGTGTGTTTGGATGTGTCTGGCCTGCGCCTTTTCCCTGCTTGGCAGAGGAGAGGCCTGCACTCCGCTCCCCCAGCACACACACACACAGGGCTGCGGGTTATCATTGGGGCCCCATATTAACACACATGGCTGGGGGGTTGTGTGCTGGAGTGGGGGAGGGGGGCATAGCGTTACATCCTATTGTGCTCCAATGCATCCGTCTCTATAGAGCAACTCGTGCGAGGTGACAACTTCTAGCTCACGTTAAAGTCACTTTCTGTAAAGTGAAGTTGCAGTTCGGATCCGGATATATTTATTTACAGGTTACGCTGGGTTGACGGCGGTGTAAATATTGAGTAAAACAAAAATATTCTGTGAACTGAAAGTTTTATCACAGGTTGGGATTTGCTGTGTTATTGTTTTTATTATCTCATTTGTAACACTCTGAGGATGTTAGGATATTGCTGTGTAATAAATAGGAACTGATGCGTGCTTTGGCAGCAACAGGAAAATATCTTTGGTTTGGTTACCAAACACTATAGACAGGTATATGTATGTATTACAGGTATATAAATACCTGTAATAAATAATATAGAGCAGGGGTAGGCAATCTCGGCAATCCTGCGAATCCCATCATGACTCTGGGAGCCATTCATGTCATTCTCTGTCTTGCAGTGCCTCATGGGACTTGTAGTTCCGCAACAGCTGGAGTGCTGAGATTGCCTACCCCTGCTTTAGAGGTTGTGTTGGCATCTGAGTGGACCTGGAGGCCTCGTTCGCACCAGACACAGTGTGTTCCAGCCCCGAGCACACTGCATTGCATTGTGGCCAGCTCACTATGTTGTGGGGCGGGAGGGGGAGTGACGGTCCGTTGAAGTGAATGGCACCGTAGCCACGCCCTCCGGCCGCACGGGAACGCAAGGCACACCAATGCCTGCGGTCCGGTCCGAATAAAATGCTGCATCGCGATTTTGTTCGGACCGGACCAATGCGATCCTGTGCGGCCAATCGCATTGCAGCCGGAGAGCTACAGTGCCATTCACTTCAACGGACCGCCACGCCCCCCTCCCGCCCCACAACATAGTGAGCCGCTGCAATGCGGTGCAGTGCGTTCCAGCCAGAATCGGGCCGGAACGCACTGTGTCTGGTGGGAACGAGGCTGAAATCAAAAAGTGACGATTTGTTACATTCTAGGAAATCTCTAGAAATGGTTATTGGGCCAGAATCTTCGATATTTTGTTTAGAATGAAATGTAGCGACGCACTCCCTGTATGTCTGTGTGCCTAGGCACCTCCTGTACCCACAGCCTCATAGATGTGTATCTACAGCAGGGGTAGGTACCCTCAGCACTCCCGCTGTGATAAAACAACTATTCCCATCATGCTTTCATCTCAGGAAGTCATGCCTGTGGTGGTCAGTCTTCCAATGCCACATGGGAGTTGTAGTTCCACAACAGCTACAGTACCGAGGTTGTCTACCCTGATCTGCAATGTGGGATCCAAGTGCCCGTTCACACTGCAATACTGCAACGCACACTGAAGGAGTTGTCCCAGCATATCCTCTCCTGTTATGACATCATCATTGTGATAGGAATACAGACTAGAGTTGTTTCTGATAATGCAATCAAATCCCTTTTATGTAGTGAGCGCTGCCTTCCGTCTGCCCATCACTTTCACCAACTTCCTGGATTCCCAGCGTGCTTTGCGTCTTTCCCTGCTGCTTGATGTGATGCAATCTCCATTTCTCAAGGCTACATATCCCATCATGCGTTGCTTCCAGCAAGCAGTTATAATGTTACATTGCTCAGACGTTGAGTTGTGGTACAGAAGTCAGACTCTGAGAGCGGTTATACAAGAAAGTGCAAATGGTGTCAGTGCATTGAGGAAGTACATCTCAGGGGTGTCCCGAGGCCGGGGGTCACCCGAAGCAGATACCCCGCCCTGACGTCATCATGTATGTGAATCCATCTTATTGATACCTGCTGGCGGCCATCTTGGTGATGGACGCTGGCAGAGAGAGGAGGGGACGTTCGTTCACCCGGCGGGATAAGGTATCTTCTCTTCTGAAACTGTCGTGCTCTCGGTCCATAACCGAGTGCTGGACTTTTCAGAGAAGGTGACACCAAAATGACTGTCAGTCATTTTGGTGTCACCCGGGTGCGGGCCGCACCCACCTTGTGACGCCAGTGGTACATCCTATGGGCATCTTCATTAAGTTTACAGACTTCTAGGTGGATCTGGTTATTAGGAGTGGGATGGGACTTTGTGATATTCCTGAATCTGAAACGTGGCTTTATAAGGGCCCATTCAGACGGGATCAGCTTCGCCAGTGCAAGAATCTGTGACGGAGAAACATCAAAACTTTGGGGTCGATCTACTAAAGACAAATTGGCTGTTCACTGTGCAAGGGAATTTTTCCCTTAGGGAATGAGGTGAAGCTCTGCTGACTTCCATCATCTAACCATGCGGACGTTCCCTTTGCCATGGGAGTTCCTCTTTTAGGGCCGGTTCGCACCATAAACATTGCGTTTCAGATCGGTCAGCCTCTGGAACACACTGTATCGCATTCCGGCCGGCTTCCTGCGTTCAGGGGCATGAGGGGGCGTTGCGGTGCATTGAAGTCAATGGCACCACTGTGCGATTGCCCGCACTAGAACGCGTGGCACATTAGTGCCT